CCGCCCCCGCCGCCATCTTGCGCCGCCGCCGCCGCCGCCGCTCCCGCCCGGCCCGGCCCGGCCCGGCCCCACCGGAGCCGCCCGCGGGGTCGGGCCCGGCCCCGCCATGGCCGAGGATTTCTGGGAGGCTCCGCGCCGCTGAGCCGGTAACGGGAACCAGCCCCGGGAGCGGCCGGGAGCCCCCGGGAACCCCCCGGGATCCCCCCGCGGAGGCCGCGGCTGACGGGAGGGCAGCGGGGGGGGGGGGGGTGCCCAGGTGTGCCCAGGTGTGCCCAGGTGTGAGGGGGTGCCCAGGTGTGCCCAGGTGTGCCCAGGTGTGAGGGGGTGCCCCAGGTGTGCCCAGGTGTGCAGGGTAGCTCCAGGTGTGCCCAGCTGTGCCCAGGTGTGAGGGGGTGCCCAGCTGTGCCCAGGTGTGCAGGGTGGGTGCCAGGTGTGCCCGGGTGTGCAGGGTGGGTGCCAGGTGTTCAGGGTAAATCCAGGTGTGCTGGCTGTTCCCAGCTGTGCCCAGGTGCCCAGCCGTGCCCAGGTGTTCAGGCTGTGCCCAGGTGCCCAGCTGTGTCCAGGTGTTCAGTCTGTGCCCAGTTCCCCAGCCCTGCCTGGGTGTTCAGGCTGTGCCCAGCTGTGTTTGGGCTGTGCCCAGGTGTGCGGGGCACTCAGGTGTGCAGTGACCCCAGGTGCCCAGCCATGCCCAGGTGTTCAGGCCGTGCCCAGCTGTGCCTAGGTAATCAGGCTGTGCCCAGGTGTGCCCAGTTGTGCTCGGGTGTTCAGGCTGTGCCCAGCTGTGCTCGGGTGTTCAGGCTGTGCCCAGGTGCCGAGCCATGCCCAGGTGTTCAGGCTGTGCCCAGCCATGTCTGGGTGTTCAGGCCGTGCCCAGCCGTGCCCAGCCGTGCCCCGGTATCCAGGCCGTGCCCAGGTGTTCAGGCTGTGCCCAGGTGCCCAGCCATGCCCAGGTGTTCAGGCTGTGCCCAGCCGTGCCCCGGTATCCAGGCCGTGCCCGGGTGTTCAGGCCGTGCCCAGCCGTGCCCAGCCGTGCCCGGTGCCCGCAGGTGCCATGGACCGGATGAAGAAGATCAAGCGGCAGCTGTCCATGACGCTGCGGGGCGGCCGCGCCCCCGACAAGGGCCTGGGGGAGCCCCGCGACGGCAGCGACAGCGGTGAGCGCTGGCCCTTTAAGAGGGTTGGGGGTGCCTGGCCCTTTAAAAGCTTTGGGAGGGATGGGAAGGAGATTGAGAGGTGCCTGGCCCTTTAAGAGGGTGCCTGGCCCTTTAAGAGGGTGCCTGGCCCTTTAAGAAAGAGCCTTGGGGGTGGGGAGGAAAAGAGAAATTAAGGGTGCCTGTCCCTTTAAGAAGGTACCTGGTCCTTTAAGAGGGTGCCTGTCCCTTTAAGAAGATACCTGGTCCTTTAGAGGGTGCCTGGCCCTTTAAGAAGGTACCTGGTCCTTTAAGAGGGTGCCTGGCCCTTTAAGAAGGTACCTGGTCCTTTAAGAGGGTGCCTGGCCCTTTAAGAAAGAGCCTTGGGGGTGGGGAGCAAAAGGGAAATTAAGTGTGCCTGTCCCTTTAAGAAGATACCTGGTCCTTTAGAAGGTGCCTGGCCCTTTAAGAAGGTACCTGGTCCTTTAAGAGGGTGCCTGGCCCTTTAAGAAGGTACCTGGCTGTCTTACAGAGAGCCTGGCCTTTTAAGAGGTTGCCTGTCCCTTTAAGAGTGTGCCTGTCCCTTTAAGAAGCTGGGAGGATTGGCACATTTTGGGGTGCCTGTCCCTTTAAGACGATGCCTGTCCCTTTAAGAAACTGGCAGGGGGGTACATTTTGGGGTGCCTGTCCCTTTAAGAGGGTACTTGTGTCTTTAAAAGTGTGCCTGGCCCTTTAAGAGGGTGCCTGTGTCTTTAAGAGGGTGCTTGTCCCTTTAAGAAGGTGTGTGTGGGGGGGACAACTTTGGGGTTCCTGTCCCTTTAAGAGGGTTCCTGTCCCTATAAGAGGATGCCTGTCCCTTTAAGGGGGTTCCTGTCCCTTTAAGAGGGTGCCTGTCCCTTTAAGGGGGTTCTTGTTCCTTTAAGAGGGCTCCTGTCCCTTTAAGAGGGTGCCTGTCCCTTTAAGAGGGCTCCTGTCCCTTTAAGAGGGTTCCTGTCCCTTTAAGAGGGCTCCTGTCCCTTTAAGAGGGTGCCTGTCCCTTTAAGAGGGTGCCTGTCCCTTTAAGAGGCTGTCGGGGGGGCACATTTTGGGGTGCCTGTCCCTTTAAGACCCCCCCCAGCAGGACACGGCCCCTTTAAGACCCGGGGGTCCCCTCCTGTCCCCCCCCCGTGTCCGTCCATCTGTCCCTGTCCCCCCCCCGTGTCCGTCCATCTGTCCCCGTGTCCTGTCCCCGCTGCCCCCCCAGGTGCCACCACCTGGCCCCGGTGCCACCAACCGGGCGCTGTCCCCGCGTCACCTCCGTGTCCCCAAACTGGGGGGGG